TTAATTATTTGTTTATGGGCATTTTTCACCAAAACCGGGGACCAAATTTGTTCCAAGCATAATACAGGTTTTCCGTTCGTATTTTCGTTCAGATGTTCTTTCTCACGGGGCATTGAAACTGAACTTAAACTTGTATAGAGTAAGCAGTTTTAATAATCCTAGATCCAGCATTTGAATTCAAGGGGTTTCCGGGGTACGGGCTTGACGACCCCGCCTACCCCGGCTACCAATCCTGAGTCAGTAAGAGCCCCAATTAGCATAAGAGTCTACGGCTTTCGAGGTCTTACCAGAGACTTAAAACCTGGTACCGCGGGCGAACAGATGCCCCTGGAGTGTGTTCGTTGGCTAGATAAGCAAGCCGGCGAGACGAACAAGGCCAAAAGTCAGGCCAGATGCACATGTAAGATCGTACAGCTGTTGAGATTTGCAAGGAACAATGTGGCTCGTCCAGCAACTCGAGCGGGTGTAGAAACCCGGAAAAGGAGTAATACTGCATGCCTTCACACCCCGGGCTGCAGGTTACTCCCCAGTAAGGCTAGTAAGACCTGCGATAGTAGCGAGACGAGCAGAATGAATGTAGGTTAATGGTGGCAACATGGTGAAGCTGTTCTCCGGTTAGGGAGACAGTGTTGGAGGTTGATGATGGCGGAAAAGCAAATCTGACTAGTTGTGGGGCTAAGCATGTGTATTTTGGTATGTTTATTGGATCGCGTGAGTTGAGCTGGTCGAGCAAGTCTGGCTGGCGAGCACTACTCCAATCTGTTCAATGAGGTCCAGCCCCTTCGGGGAGTATCGCGAGGGCTGTGGTTTAATACCTAAATGCGCGTGGAACTCGCAAGGGTTCAATGTGGAGTTCCATTTCAACCGGGTGCCGGGACCCAAAGAACCAAAAAACCCAATTTCAACAATCAATTTAAAAACTTTGTGCAGAGAATTTGTCGTTTTAAATTTTAATTTTTAAAATTGAATGTCGCAATCGGGCATGGATCATTTTGCGATGCTCATTTTGGTGAATGACAATTTGATTTTAATTTGATGCTTCTTTCTTTATTTCATGTGCATGAAGTACAATGGTGGTATTTAGTATTTGAGTTTTACTGAGTAAATATTTACATATTTAGTTTTCTAGAAAACTAAGCTATTTTTTGTGCTTATTACTTTTTAAATAGTTTCTGTTCGCCAATAAATTTTCGTAAGCCTCTTGCGTTTATGTCTGGAGTTTGCTTAAATATTTGCTTATTTACATAGCATTAATTACCCGCAAATCTGGTTTTCACTTCGGTAGAATTCGCTGTATGTATTGTTATCAACAGCATTGTTTATGTTTATCTATATGTTATATAAGTATGTAACTTATAGTTTTATAAATCGTCTAAAATATATATATTTTACATAAATACTGATGGTGTTCTAAGTGATGTTTTTTTTTCTAACAAATTTATTACAGACCATTTTTATATATTGGTAACTATTTTGAAGAATTTCGGTGAGGTTTAATATTTTGGCTGTACATTTAATTTTTTAATACAATGTGTTTTTATTTTTAGTAAGTGTCATTGTAGTTATGTCTGTACATTTGTACGTATTATGAGGTGTGTATTTCGGTATTTTTTCTTTTATTGCGAAACTTTTTCTTAAATAGTGGGTATTTTTTTTATAGAGCATAATAAAGCTGAACCGCACATAGAATAGAAATTAACTTAGTACGATGGTATTTGTCAACATACTGTTGGTTTGTTTTTCGGTCAATTTGTATCTTTGTTATAGTCCAACCCGAATGGGAGCTTAACCAAGAAAGAGTCAGCGGAGAGTTCTTTGCGCGTTCTAGCTAATAAAATTTCCCCATTTGCACTGAGAAAAGAAAATGTATTGTCTTACGCTATTTCTAACATTTCTTGCAGTATAACCTCTATGACTAAAATCTTCAAAAGTTTCAGAATTCGATTCGAATTCGAGAAAAAACTAAAAAAGAAAACATTATGAAATAGTAAAGGTAAAAGTTTCCACGGAATATTATACGTATGTATGTATATCACCTCTCAATATTATACGTATGTATGTATCTGCAGTTCTCAAGAAAAATCATAAGAAATATTTGTCATTATTTCTGTTGCTTGAAAAATTACTTTGCTGGTCCTATAAATTTTTCTTGAAGAAAAAAATATACGAGCATTTACTAATTTAAGAAATTTTGATAGAAGAAAATTCCTTTCACTTTCTTGTGAGTAATTTTATATGAATTTTTAATTTTTCTTGAAAGCTGCAGACAGGCGTACTTCATGTTTTAACATTTCTGAGTAGGAATTTACTGTGTTCGACCAATGCCGACGGCTTGAAGTAAACTCCGATATGCTCTTTATGTCTGGCACAGGCTCTTCAGAAATGACTCAATTTCAAATTTGTCATTTTTGAAACTGAGTGCTCTAAAAACCTTCTCTGACCCTTTATTTACCTTTCAGAAAAAAGTGGATCAACATTCTGTTGTACTTCGTTGAAAAAATATCTAAGGTAAAGTCCATGGTGCACTCTAATAATGTTGACCAATAAGAATGTTACTATTTTCGAGAAAAGAAAACACCACAACTCATTGAGAGGTTGGCTTGTTCCAAAAAAATATCAATTCAATGAAGAAATTGTGAGTAGGCACTGTGCCCAATGGTAATGGAAGAGTAGTCCGGAGGTTGCCTTAAGCTAGACTGAGCATCGGTTTTGTATTTGCGTTAATTTTTTTTAACAAGTTTTTGTTACGTAACATTTAATAACTGGAACGGCGAATTCGATTTGTTTCAAAATTGCTACTTTCTTTGCTCTTTGCACTGAACAATTTTTTATTGCCTCATAAAATAGTCTAAAGGTGTGAAATCAGCTGATCTCGGCGGCCAAATGAGATCTACTCGGTGAGAAATTATGAGTCTATTAATGCTCTCTTGAATCAGCAACACTGTGAATGACCAGTTGGCTTCAGGTGACGTGTGAACTAGAACTTATACGGCAAGAAGAGTAAGAAATTGATTAGTTATCATTTAATACTCAAGACGTCAACTTAGCAAGAAGCGAAATTTTTTTTTTATATTTTCCTTTTCAGCTGATTGCCACTTTGCCGCCTATAAGCCACAACAAAAAAATGTCTTTATAAAAATATATGCCTTGGCCAATATAAAAGGTTACGCTACGTAAATTGAGTCTAGAGTAAATGAACCTTAAGTCCAAATACAAAATACATACTCGTTTACTTTAATATGCCATAAGACATTCTCTATTCCCGAGAACGGCTATATATTGGCAAAGTAGGTTCTTGCAAGAGCTTCCCAAAAATCACTATGGCAACACTTTACATATACGCGATTTCGTATTGCCTTTGCATACTTTTAGGCATTGCATACTTTTGACAATCGCGGTAAGTAGTAGCGATTTCTAAAATGCGACTGCTCTAGTTTAACTCGAAAATAACCATTTAAGAGAATAAGTCCTTGCTTCGGTGCTTTGCTCGAGTTACCATAAAATACAAACTGTAGTCATTTTCCAAAAAGAAAAGCACGCTAAACAAATGTTTATGTATGTTTTATACAGAACTTATTTCGGTTAAAAATATCAGAAGTTGCTTGCGAAAATCGAATTTCTCACACGCTGTGCATTGTTTTGCCACCTAACCTTAAGATCAGCAATATTGTTGGCTCTTTGAATTTTTATTAGACAAAGTTTTACTCTAGGTGACAAATGAAAGTGTTCACCTTGTTCTTATAATAATAATATTCACAATTGTAAAATATTTTTTCATTAATTATTTACGAAACTATATGTATGTAGTTCATTCTATAGTTCATTCTAATCAAAGTTTCACTTTTTATATAAAGTTCAAAAGAATTTCTAGTACTCAGGTATGCAGTTTTAATAGCCATTCAATTTTAGTCTAATGAAGCGCAAGTTTCACCTATCTATAATATCGCGTTGACTTTTGAGAATTTTTTTTTGTGGAATTCTGAAAAAAAGTTGAAAATTTTTAAAGTGTGAAACCTTAATTTATATGGTTACTATTATAGAATGGACTATATTTTCATAAATAAATTTTGCATCAAAATAATAAGCTTTGGCGATCATTTTGCACTCTTAACTGCTGTTAAGCTTTTGGTGGAAATAGGCTATAAGACATCAGTACTAAACTCCTGACTCAAATTGTCTTTGAAGTAAGTGTAAGCATGCTACACACTGCTAGGTGTTAGCTCGATAACTACGCTCAAAGATAAGTTACCCATCACTAAAAAGATGCGCTCCAAGGTGTTGTGCAATCAAAAGTTGAGAAGAATTGGAATTTTTTTTACTTTACACCAAAAATTCCTTTAAGGACCATCGCGAGTTTGTAAATTTACTTAAATATATAGTATTTTTTTTTTTTAATTTTGCACGCCCCATTTAATTTGTTATTGCATACTCGTAATTGTCCTAACGCCTAACTGTAGCTTAAATTTTCGCTCCACTTCATCATTTTCAACCGTAATGAATATGTAGGCCATAAGACCGTGCTAATATGCAATAAGGCTAATTGCTAATGTTAAAAATGCATATGTAATTTTATTTTATAATTGATGTTTACTTATTTTTACTAGTTTCGAATATCTTTTTTTGTTTGGTTTTTTTTTTCATAAATATAATGAAGGCTTGTTTTATGACTTTTTTTCTCACTAAACACTCTCGTTTTCATATAAACAATGTTATGTTATGAGCTTTAATTTTTTGTTGTTTTTTCATTTTTTTCTATTTACCTATTAGTTGGTGTATTCGCTTTATATTGCTAAATTATTTATTTATTTATTTTTATTTCGCTGCCCAATTACTTTTTGTATAATTTATACATACTAATGAACGCATTTATTTCTTGCAATACACTTTTTTATTTTTTATTTTATTATTATTTTTTAGCTTAACGCTAATATTAAAAATTTAATTGCAAAAAAATTATTATCTCATATATTCGTCAATAAAAATTATTAAATATCTCTTTATGCTTTTGAGTATTTATTTTTAATCTATGCTTCGAATAAAAAGTTTTTTTTTTTTAAAAAGTGCCAAGTACTTAATTGTTGTAGTAAGAAGTATTGAAACGAAAACGAAGTTAAATTCGTTTAAAGTATTGAAAATAGCTTGGGTTGCGAAAAAAAGAATTTCTTAGCTCGCTTTTTTCTCTTCAGCAGGACATTCACACATATTCGCTTGAAAATTTCGCTTTTTACGGTTATTCAACTGCCCAAACCAATTTTTCTTCCAAAATTCTTATTCGATCTAATATAAAAACCCCGACTTCGTAAGATGTATAACAAACTATTGTAGCTAAACTTTTATTTATGTAAATGTTTTATCTTATAAACTGCCCTCAGCGCGCTGTCGCTGTCCTCGTCCTAAAAAGTCCTTTTTTTTTGTTATGTATAAGTATGCATGCTATTAATTTTAATGTAGGTTTACTGTTCGTTTGCGTTCGTTCGTTTACTTTAATTGTCTTAACCACCACCTAAACTTAACGCCTGAACTATACGTGGATCAGCTTTACTACCCTCACGAAATTCTTCTAATGTTAATTTACCATCATGATTCTTATCCATTTGATCGAAAATTTTGTCAACACGTTTCTGCGGCGTATTCTCATCCTCCGATTGCGGTTGTTGGCCCTGTTGAAATTGGAGAAAAATAAGAAAAGAAAAATTATAGCATACTTTTAGGAAGAAGAAGTTAATGTAGTAGACAGTATTTTACAGCCCTATTCACACGCGCAGTAATTGTGACAGTAGTCATACGATGAATTTTGTCAATGATGAGGGAATAGGGCGGTTAGTTTAAGCCTTTCGAAAGGACCCTCTATTTAATTTATTAACACTTAGCTGTCAAAGCTACCAAACCATTCTTCAATGAAAAAAAGTTTTGAAAAGCAAAAACTGTTTGTAGAGTAAACAAAGTCTCAGTTTACAAATCGCATACGATCTTCAATGGTGACACCAACTCAAAATTAAAGGTTTGTCAGAAAATGCGAAAAACTATTTCTTAGCGCATGCTAATCATATGGGCAAGGGAACTTAAACAATTTCATAACACACGAAAGAAATGATATACTCACGAAAATATGGGCCAAATATAATAGAACTGCGTTTTTAATTTTTCACTCTGACGTCAGGATTTTTTTTAAGGACTTTGAAGTTTTAAAGATATGATTAATTCAAACAATTTTTTTAAAAAATCAGTGCAATGTAGAATAACAAATAAGAGCAAAAATTCCGTATTTATGACATCTCCTTTCCCCTCTCTAAGCCCAACTGATATTATTTATCAACTGCCACCATGGCTTTTTTCCACCTGCCTTTATATAGTCGAAACACTGTGCGACGTTATGATTTTTCTCAAAAGATTCAGACTTCAGACAGAATTCAAAATACTATTAAAAAAATTTAGTGCACCAAGGAATACCAATATAGGCATCAAATAAAAGAACGAACAGTTATTGAAAATTTTAAAAACTATATCCTTGAATATCCTTAAAAATTTGCTTTATTTACTTTTGAAAAGGAAATATTTGTAATTCCTCTCATTTCGTCCTTCTCACTTTATTAGCATCAACAAATTTATTAATTAAACTGACATTTTCAATATCCAAAAACATTTTTTTTTAAGTCAGCAGAATTTGCTCTTTCATTTGGAACCGATTTTATTATTCTACATTGCAGTTATTTTTTTTTAAACTTTTACTTAAACATATCTTTGAAATTTCAAAGTCCTTTTAAAAAAAACTGTGACGGCAGGCAGTAAAACGCAGTTTTACCAAACGTGAGTCAATCCTGCGTTTAAAATTTTTTTTAGTTTTTGTTGCACGTTACATTCTAACATATTGCCTATGTGTTTAAACCTTAAAAAAAAAAAATGTTTGTGGTTACATTGCTCAACTCGCAAACAAAGTTCGGTTAACTACTAAGCCATTAAAATAATACAAAATATTTTCAAATGACTTTTTGCCAAAGCACATAGACTTTTACTGTTAAGCTTGCATATCTATACATGTACGAGTATTTAAGCATATTAGAGAAGTATGTACATATATTTATTTGCTCTTCAACAATTTTTTATACATACATATTTATATATCAACATTTGCCACCCGAACTTACCACCATCTGATATATGGCATCCACAATATTGTACATTTCCTCGCGTGTTATGTAACCGTCATTGTCAACATCGTACAACCGGAAGGCCCCTGGAATGAAACAATGAAACAAATAAAATATGTGTGGTGAAAAAGTAGTACCATAACAAAAAGCGAACTGCATGAAAAAGTGTTACTATGGAGCATATTTGCATATACATATATGCAAATTTACATATAAATTGTGTTAAATATTTTATGCGTATATTCATGTAAACATATTAATCTTCATATAAACTCACATATTTACATACACAAAAATATATGTGCACACATATGTATGGATGTACGTTTACATATGAAAACCTTTATTTATTAAATATTTATGCATTTAAATATTTATTAAATTGACATGCGAAAAAAGGCAATTTTTTCCAACAACCCAAACATTGGTACATATAAATAAATGAAATACGTCCGCAATATTTGCGAAATTGTTAGCTGTCATTAAGCAGATTAAGTGAGCATAAGGGACATAAATGTGTACAAATATTGAGATAACACTGGTCAACAAAATTGCACTTTTGGACTGATGAATGACTTATGACACATGATGTTTACTAATTTGATTTTGGTGCATAGATTGCGCGGTAAAAACCGGTTTTCGTAGGGACAGCTTAGCGTACTACTGATTCTAAATTTGTTTTCTAGCAGCTCTAGTTTACGAGTTATAGCTTTCACTAGGTTAGGACCTTCGTACGATGGAGGAACGCTATCAAGGCCACTAGAACGCACACATGTTGCCTGACTATTGTTGGAGCATTCAGAACAGCTCTCTGCCATCAACTTCCACAAAGAGGTCTTCTCTAAGAAAGTTTTTTTATAAGCTTTTATTATGTTTCACCTGTGTGTAATCAAATCTTGCAATCAATTTTTAACTAACTTCCCGATTAGATAGAAACTTGAAACTTTAAACTTAGCTCAGAACCCGATGACAATACGCTAGGTGGCGCGGCTGTCGAGTTATTTGAAAACCCCGTATTTATGGTGGAACGTGTTGTGTTTTATTGTCAAAAGTGACATGTTTAATATTTTTCAACCCCACGTCTCCACCTTCTACTAAATGTGTTTAACATCTGTCAAATTTATGTTTTCACATTGTCCCGTTTTCTTATGTGGGCAACTTGCTGTCTAATATTTCACTTTCAAAATGGCATCAAGCCAATCAGATTGATCTGTAACCAATGTATATGGCGCGGTAAAATGAAAACTGAGTTGTAAACCTACGAAATGACAGCTGATGTTATGACAGCGATGGTAAGAAATTCGGCACGACAGCTATGGTTTGACAGTGGAAATATGCGGTCTTCACCTGACACACAGCTTTTTTAACAGAATCTGTAGAAGGTGGAGCCGTGGGGTAAACTAGAACTGATACAGACATTTCAAAAATAGATTACAAATCGTCATTAAAAATTAGGCTAGTATCATGTAACATAACCTAATCACGGCCGTTGTGCGGTGTAGTCAAACCAAATATGTTGAGAGTAAAAAAGTGGGCATTTTTAATTGTTGGTTTAAAATATAACTGTAGCGCTGCGACAGACAATTAATGTTTGGAAAATACTCGTATTTAGTGTTGCGCAGCGTAACTACTCTACACATTTTTCTATACTCTTGCATGAATTGGAAAGGGACGTAGGACACTGTTTATGAATTGAACACGAACATTATTTTCACTAGGCAATATTTTCATTTGCCTTTGCTATTTACAAGCGATTTAAATTTAAAGAAGTACCACTAGCTGGTCTCCGAGAGGAATTCTTGCACTTTTACATATTATCTAGTTGCGTTAAAAGAAAGACAATTCTAGAAAAAGGTTTATTATTGTATGTACTGTGGTCGTGTAGACTTGTCGAGTTTTGTTAAAGCAAATATCTGATTAATATACACACAAAAATGAACTCGGTTCATTAAATACAATATTAAAATTTTTAAAGCAAGATAATACAACAAAATATCATTTACATAAGTAATGTAATAGGCGTACTATCATATGAACAAAGTAACCGTGAAATAAAAAAAAGTAACATACATAACTGCATTGTACAGTTCCATAAAAAAGTTTTTCAATCACAACATAAAAATATAATTTCACGATTAATTATAAAATTATCAAATTGGAGGAATAACCTGGCGAGATGAAGACATAGTTCCCTGCCATTAAAATTCAATAAAGCACGAAATTGGAGGAATAACCTACATAGGTCCCAGTCATTTACATTTTTAATCTGAATAATATATTCTGACATAACTAATAATTAGAGGAATAACCTGGTTACTTGTGGACCATTAAATCACATTACACTTTTTTTATTTAAATTTCGCTTTCGTGAAACCGGCAGTGAAAGTGTAAAATCAAATAAATAAAATATTTAAATTAATTTAACAAAGTAAAATCAAATCAAAAATGTAATAAGGGAAAGTAGTATTAATTTAAATTTCCAATAATTAAAAATAACCATACAAATTAAATAAGCCTTTTACGAAGAGTCTATGATCCCCTTAAATAAGAAAATCAATGTCAAAAAATGTCGACATGCATATGTAAGTACATACATATGTACGTATTCAGTTAAATAATAGAGCTGAATATGGTTTTAGTTCAATACTATCAGTGGAGCAATCACCACACACACGGTGGTCGTAGCAATGCGCTTGAAAGGAGGGAGGGAGAAGGGATAACCAAAAAAGTAGCTGTAGGAGGCAAGTGTAAATTTTGTTGATGCGCACAGCTCCCTTTACAAAAAACACAGAAAACACTAACAAATGTAGACAGGTACTCGAGTTTTGCTTTCAAATTGAGCGGAACACTCATAAAAAGATGATCGGCCGATACGGTGTTCAACTTATACCTTTGCATGTTATCAGCTTAGAGCCCGAAAATTTAATACAGTTTTTTATTACTTTTTTACTGGATATAATATTATTGGGGATATTTATCAAACTTCCGATAAGGGCGTTAAAATTATAAAATCCATAAAAATGTTTAATTTTTTTACTTCTATCGGCAGTTTATCACATTATATGTTGTTCGTATATTGTTGTTCATATGAATGCGTCCATTCAAGGCATATTGAACAGGTATAAGCGGCAGAGAAGTGAATTTAGTATTTTTGCACATTTCGTCACTGCAAAAATAAAATATGCCTTGAGTTCATTGCTATTTGTTCGCGTGCGGCGGATGCTGAATACATTTAGTTAATGCACGTTTGGCAATTCTTTACAAAATCAAATATCGAGAACAAGCACATGTGATCAATTTTGCTAGTTCATCGCTCAAAGAATGCCTAAAAGTATGTTATTTTACAGGAATCCATGTATTAATTCATGGAGCATTTTACGTCAAGCGTACAGAAATAAGTGATATTTTGAATAATTTAACTTGGACTGAGGTATGAAGTGTGCAAACATTTATTTTTTATATGGTCGTTATTTGTCGACTATGGGCTTCTAAAGAACCGTCAAAAAGAAAATTAGGTTTTTGTTAAAGTAAAAACTTAGTCTTAACTTATACGGGAAGACATCATACAAATTGGCTAAGGTATTCCAAATGTGTGACATTTGCGCGCCACCACTGAAAAACCTAAGAAGCTGAGAACAAATAAGCGGATCACATTGTAGGCTAAAAACAATAACAATTTACCTTTAATTTCCAATAATTCGTTTATCAGTTATTGGCAAAAATACAGAGGAAACAACGCCCACGGGCTTTATTTGCTTTTTTATGAAATAAAGCAAACGGGTGTTATTTCCTTTTCTTCGGGAAATAGGTCCCGCGGCCGCTACTGCTCTTTCGCTAAGAAAATAGCGCCTACCGACAAATGGCAATAAAGCCCGTGGGCTTTATTTCTTTTTTTAAGTAAATAAAGTCCATGGGCGTTGTTTCACTGCATCCGCCTAAACGTATTAGAGATTATGGAGATATACCAACAAAGATTTTCGTCGGAAAAATAATAAACCACTGAGGCAAAACAGAACAGAAACCCGGCAACTACCATAAACAAGGGGACCCAGATTCAAACAACGGGAACCAACAGGAAGAAATTAACTGATTTTAACCTACCTGCGAATCCGGACCATAATTAATCAGGAATATGCGAGCACCCGACTTCTACCTAAATACCTTAGGATGCACACATAGAATAACAATTACTGGTTAGACTAAAAACTAGAACCCGCTAAGAAGGACCTGATAAAGAACCAACGACCATTAGCATGGCTGTAAATATTTACGGAGAAAAAGAAACTATTCAGAAAGAAAAATTACACTGAAGATGGCAAAATGGCGAAACCGATTTGCCTCCAAACCAAATTTTACAAGGGATGACGGAAAATCGTTCCACAATAAATCATACTCCTACCCTATCGGAAACACCACCAACGAATTATGCTTTTGAAAACGTACCAAAGAATAAAACTTTAAATAGTATTTTCAAAATACACAACACCAAAGCAAACATCTGGTTCAATAACTTCCATAGACCTAAAATCAAGAGCCTGTGTGCAAACAAAAATTTACAAATGTTGAGCTACTTTCCATTCCTTTAGAACTAGCGAAACTTCTTCCTGTCAGCGCGCTGGAGATGTTGAATAAATAATGGAAAATATCAAGAAATGGCCATATCATTCCCACCAAGCGAGGATCAAGATCACACAAGAAGTATATAGGCACCTTAATTCACAAAGGCCCTAACCAA